ATGCATCCTGGTGGGGACAAAATGTACAATAATCTCAAAGAGCGCTACTTTTGGACTGGTATGAAGAAAAATATTTCAGATTTTGTGGCGAGGTGTTTGACTTGTCAGCAGGTTAAGGCAGAGCACCAACATCCATCTGGATTATTACAGTCAATTAAGATTCCTGAGTGGAAATGGGAGCGTATTACGATGGACTTCGTTACTGGTCTTCCTCTAACTCCTTCCAAAAAGGATTCTATCTGGGTGATTGTTGATCGACTCACCAAGTCAGCGCATTTTATCCCTATTCGAGTTAATTATTCTCTGGATAAACTGGCTAAGTTGTACATTTCTGAGATCGTTAGACTTCATGGTGTTCCGTTGTCTATCATATCTGATCGAGATCCGATATTCACTTCCAGGTTCTGGAAAGCTTTGCATGAGGCTCTGGGTACTCGTTTGAATTTCAGTACAGCTTTTCATCCTCAAACTGATGGAAAGTTTGAGCGAGTGATTCAGGTGTTGGAGGATATGTTACGGGGCTGTGTGATTGATTTCCGTGGTAGTTGGGAAGATTTCTTGCCATTAGCTGAGTTTGCTTACAATAATAGTTATCAGGCGAGTATTCGCATGGCACCGTACGAGGCTCTGTATGGACGTAGATGTCGTACTCCTATATGTTGGACAGAGTTACATGATAGAAAAACTTTGGGTCCAGATTTGGTTCGAGAGACTGAAGATACTGTCAGACTGATCCGTGATCGCTTAAGAGAGGCATTTGATAGGTAGAAGTCATACGCAGATAAGCGACGTACGGATATCGAGTTTGAGGTTGAAGATCAGGTTTTTCTCAAGGTATCTCCATGGAAGAAGGTATTGAGATTTGGACGTAAAGGTAAACTGAGTCCGCGATTTATTGGGCCGTATCGTATTCTGAAGAAAGTTGGACATGTTGCTTATCAGCTTGAGTTGCCTTCCCAGCTCAGTCGTATTCATGATGTTTTTCATGTTTCTATGTTGAGGCGATACCGTCCAGATCCAGATCACATCATTCAGGTTGATGAGGTAGAGCTGAGACCTGATTTGTCATATGAGGAGGAGCCTGTTCAGGTTTTAGAGAGGGATGAGCGAGTTCTTTGGAATAGGCGTATTCCAATGGTCAAAGTGCAGTGGAGTAATCGTAGCCCCTCAGAAGCTACTTGGGAGACATTGGAGTCAATGGAGGTTCAATTTCCTCATCTGTTTTTATAAGGTAAATTTCGAGGACGAAATTTCTTGTAGAGGGGGAGAATTGTAACAACCCGAAAATTTCAAAATAATATTTAATTGGGAATTGAGGCTTTAATTGTGAAAATTGGTGGATTTTGGGGACTAAATTGGAAGTTTTTAAAACTTGTAGCTTGTTTTAGAGTTAAAGAAAATTCAGGGACCAAGCCCTGAATTTACCCCAAAAAAATTAGGTATTTGGTTTATATATATGATATATGCGTGAATTGGGTTCTGAAAATCAGAACCCAATTCCTCCCAAATTCCCTCTCCCAACCTCAACTTCCGACGACGATTCTGACACCGTCCGAATTCCGATCGTCGTTTTGAAAGTACCATCGTGTTCGTTATCGAGTCAGGAACAATCCCCTCAATTTAATTGAAGCGAAACGCTGCCAAACGTCGTGAATTTCAAGTCAAAACATCGACTTTTTTTTAAGCTCAATCGCCTAGAAAATCCTAAATTCATCGCCGATCGTTGCTCCTTTTACGACACCTCTCGCACCATCGTGTTCCTTGTTCCGTTCCGAGTCCGCCGGTGTCATCCTCGATCTCCATTTACGGCGGCGCGTGGGGAGGTGGATCAGTCAAAGATTCGGCCGAGTCGAAATCGAGCTCTCCGTCGTTCAAAAATTTGAACCGATCTTTGTAAGTATCTCGAAATCACTCAAAATTTTAAATATATTTAATTTTCAACTTCGGAATATCAACAATAGATTGGAGAGCTTGAATTCGAATAAATTAGCCATGATTCTTTTCTTATCTTTTGAAATTCAATTCATGAAAGTAAAGCTAAACCCTACAAATACACAATTAACAAGAACATCATCGAAACTTTTGATTACGAGAGAGAAAATCCAACGAAGCTATGGAGTTTGGGAATACCTGAATAATGCTATAAGTCCTTAAGATTGTTGCAGAGATTTCCAATCTAAGGAAATAATAAAGCCCTCTATAAATAAATTACTCATTTTTTCTTTTATTTATTTATGGATTAATGCCCAAATAAGTCCCCAAACTATACTTTTTATGCCGAATAGGTGCCTATATTATTTTTTGGCTTATCCAAGTGTCTAATGTTACCTTTATAGGTGTCCGAGCGATAAACGACATTAGTTTTCCCCGTTAAGTGACATATGTCACAATCTGATAATTTTAAAATTTATTTTTAAAAAAATAAAAAAAATATTATATTTATATTAAAAAAAACTTAACTTCTTTTAAATTACAAAAAAGCCTCAAAATCTCTAAAATCTCCAAATCCTAACACAAACCCGCTGTCGACCCCCTTTTTGGCCACGACCACCACCGCCGACATAGTCCTTGCCATCATCCTAGTTAGATGTCGTTGTAGTTATCGTCGATTCACCGTCGGAATCGCGTGGGATGATGATTTTCAACCTAGGGTTTGCGGGAGTTTAAAACGTCAATTTGTCATCGATCGGTTGTCAATCGGTCATGATTTCATAGGGGTTTTGGTCGTCTGGAGGACGGGAGGTTAGGCGAAGCTTCTTCGATGGAAAAGGGTGGCGGTCGGCGTGAGTTTAGGGGTTGAAATGAAGGTTTTCAAAGTTTAATAATTATTTCAAAATTTATGTGTTTTTTAAAATATATATAATTTTATATTTTTAATTTTATATAAAAAAATTAAAATTACCAGATTGTGACACATGTCACTTAACAGGGAAAACTAATGTTGTTGACGGCTCGAACACCTAAAATAGTAACGTTTGTAATGTTATGCACCTAGATGAGCCAAAAATAATATAGGCACCTATTCGGCACAAAATGTATAGTTTGAGCGCTTATTTGGGCATTAAGCCTTTATTTATTGTTTTTATCAACTTTTTTTGAAAATAAAAATGGTTAAATACATAAAAGGTCATTAAAGTCTAAATATATTTATATTTTAGTCATTTAATTTTTTATTCGCAAAGAAAATCGCTTCTACGTTAACTGTGTAAGAAACGTATAATGAGCGACAGTAAGCACAAAAGAGAAACTTTCAGTTGATAATATTTTAAACCTTAGATTTTTATTAATTTTTTTTATTAATTTTATTAATCAAAAACTATTTTTTTCATAAGTATTTTAGTATAATAGATATTCATCGATAGTATAAATTTTAGTGATTGTTTATAATTAAATAATATATCATATAAATAAAGAATAGGATTAAGGGAGCTGAGAGTATATTTTTTGACTAATTTAAAATTATTATAACGTAATACATGTTTAATTTTTTTAATTAGGCAAAAGGGTAATTTTGCCTATAGTATACCAAATTTATTATTTTTGTCACTATCGTATTTTTGCATAAATTTAGTCCTCGAAGTTGCTCAATTGCATCATTCTATATCTTATCCTTAACTTAAAACCCTAAATTATTAAAAATAAACCCTAAACCATAATTCTATAACCTCTAAAGCATAAACCTTAACCTCTAACTTAAGTTTATAATTTAAGGTTTTAAATTAGAATTAGAATATAAAATGATACAATTAAACAACTTTGAGGATTAACTTGATGTAAAAATACGATGGAGACGAAAGTGATAAGTTGGATCTACTACAGAAACAATAGTAACTCTTAAGTCTTTAATTAATTGATAATTCACATACTTTGTAAATATTTATTATATTAATAAAATAGATAATTAATTAGGTATAAAAGGAAGATTAATCTTATAGTGTGACCTAAGAGTGAGATTTAGAAGATCAATCAAAAGTGGTACATCGATTGGCCCTACACTTTCTTGAACCAACTTAACCAATTTCACATTGACTCAATCAAATTTGCAGCAAAAGCAATGGCCATTGTCTCTCTCCGGTGGAGAGCAGTGAAAGAGCACATAGGATTCTGCTAAGCAACTTAATTAGTACTGTGTTGCATCATAAAGCAAAGGATCGCTAATTATAACGTATACTCATTATTCACTATTGATCGATAGTTACTGATGTAATATATATTAATATTATTTTTAAATAAAAGACTAATTTTTTCGTTGTAGCATGCTCAATTTATCATTTCCACTCAATCGTATTTCGCATCAATTTGACCATTAAAATGCTTAATTGCATCATTTTATATCATAACCTTAACTTAAAAACCTAAAATATAAACCTAATCTCTAAACCATAACCTCATAACCTCTAATCCATAAATCTTAAACCTCAAAACCTAACTTAAGATTTATAATTTAAGGTTTTAAGTTAGGAGCAGAGTATATAATGATGTAATTAAACAACTTTGAGAGCTAAATTGATACGAAAATATAATAGGGACGAAAATGATAAGTTGAGTATACTATATGGGTAAAAGTAACCCTATTTATGTGATGTATCACACATAATTATTTTTGTTGATGTAGTATATTTTTTAACCTGAAATATGTTATTTTAATAATTATATATAAAAAAATCACATCAATAATAAATATTAATCGCTAATGAATTAATAATTTTTATTTTAAATAATATTATTTCAATCAAAATTAAATTGTTGATATCTAAAATATTTTTAAAAATTTAAATCAAAATGAGTATTTAAATAAACATTCTAACATTATACACCCTAAAATAACAACAATATTACATCAATTTCCTTTTTGTTTAAAAAATTATTTCATCGACGTGAAATTACAATAATAAAATGATAAAACTGAAAAATTACAAGAAAAATGACGCCATGACTGTTAACCACGTTGGGGAAAATATTCAAAGAAAAAGGGAAACTTCGAATGTTTCTTAAAGAATCAAGACTCTAAGCATAATGACAATGGAAAGATGGCTGATGGCTGATGGCTGATGGCTGATGGCTTTAGTCCTTTACTGAAGAAGGTGGAGCCTCAATCATCTGCAACATCATGAAGTTGACGAGTCCCTTCCCCGGAGCTAGATCGGCCAAGTTGTTCGATTCGGCTCATCACCTTGGCCATGGAAGGACGGTTGTCGGGATATTGAGCGGTGCAATCGATGGCAAGCTGCAAGAGTTGGACCATATCTTCCTCAACATCGGGGTCTCTCAGAAGTTCGAGGTCGATCACTTCGGCTGTCCACTCTTCTCGGACAACAGATTGGACCCATCTTGGAAGGTCTACCCCTTCCTCATTTAGTAAGGCATGTGTAGGTGTCTTACCAGTAAGTAGTTCTAAAAGCAATATACCAAAACTATAGACATCTGCCTTTTGGGATACTTTACGAACATCTGTTACCTCTGGGGCACGGTAGCCATCTACACGGGTTGGAGCCGACGGGGAACTAGCGAGCTGAGCAAGACCGAAATCAGATACACGAGCTTCATAGGATGTAGTAAGTAGGATGTTTGAGGATTTGATGTTCCCATGGGAGGTTATGGGGCCCTTCGAATGGAGGTATGCAATGCCTTTAGCAGCTCCAAGGGCAATGCCCCACCGTGTGTCCCAATTCAATGGAGTCCTGCCCGCTCCTCTGTTACCTGATTTTGGATACATAACAACAACATCAACAACAAAAGGAAACACGTAATCAACAAAGGATACACAAAATTAACAAAGAAAAAGGAATACCGACCATGCAAAAGTGCAGACAGGCTTCCCATGGGCATGTAATCATAAACAAGGAGCTTTTCATCCCCATTAAAGTAGCAGGCCTTTAACGGGACCAAGTTGTCGTGATCCATGGCTCCGACTACCACCATCTTCTCTTCGATTTCCTTCTCCGGCACCATCACATCCTTTAGCCTCTTCACTGCAACAACCATCCCTGTCTCCAACGTGGCCTTATAAGTCGTCCCAAATGCTCCCTTCCCCAACACCTCTGCAGAAGCTCTCAATAAATCATCCAGATCGAACACCTTCGCCGCCTTCCCGAAAAACAACAAACTCTTACTCCCATTACTCTTAGCATCCTTTTTGGCTACCCTGGATAACCCATTACTTCTATTATTAGTACCAACATCCCCAGGCAACCCGTTACTTCTATTATTATCTTCCTCTATCGCCTTTTCTCTAGGAATTTCAACCTCAGCCTGTTTTGCAGGGCCAATGTCCCTTGACTCCATTTTCTTACCACTCTTCCTTCTACATAAACATATCAATAGAATCAAAATCAACAGAAAAACAAGCACAGACCCAATAACAATGCCGGCAATGGCTCCACCAGAGAATTTACTCCCACTACTTTGAGTTCCACCACAAGAAACCAATGGCTTCCCACATAAAGCATTCCCTTGAAAAGCAGTCCTTGGCTGCCCTGACAATCCTTTTGGGATTGACCCATTCAACTGATTAAAAGAAACATTGAGTTGCACAAGTGTAGGCAAACGAATATCTGGTAAAATCCCAGATAAGTGATTGTTCTCCAAATACAAAGTACCCAGCCTAGTCAAATTGTTAACACTCTCTGGGATAGATCCGGTGAAATTATTGTCTGCAAGATTAAGCCTAATCAGGTTCTGCAAAGTGAACAAAAACACAGGAATCTCACCGGAAAATCCATTGCCTTGCAAGTAGAGGTTTCGAAGAGAGGTCAGCTTTGAAAAATCAGATGGGATTGGCCCAGAAAGAGCATTGAATCGAAGAGAGAGTGTCTGGAGCTGAGTTAAGTTGCCAATGGCGATGGGAAGCTTGCCTGACAGTCCCATTCCAGGCATTCTTAGCTCGACGACTCTGTCTCCGCTACAGTTTACGCCGGTCCAAGTACAGGGGCTGCTCGACAGATTCCATAGACGCGAGCGTCCACCGACAGCTGCTTGAAGAGCCATTAAGGATGCCCTGTCCGAAGCTAGATCTGAGTTCACACTGACCAACAATGTTGTTGTCCATAACAACAACATGGAGAAACGCATTATGCTGGAATTCAGTTTCATGTGTTGCTTGCTCTGGAAATAACAGGTTCGGTTTGGTTTCCTGTACTGAGAAGTTGGTCTTCAGCAGCTTCAAGATTGGAAGATGGATTTCATGGGAAATTTGATTTCTCTTTTCTCTTCTCTCTTCTTTTTTTAGGCCGGTAATGGAAACTTATGGGAATTGATGAAATTAAGGAGTTTGGCTTGGTTTTCAGAGAAAATTAAGGGGAAAAAAGAGAGAATCTTACGATTGTTGAGAAAATTGATAATCAAAATCATGCTGACGGGTAAAAAAAATGCAGCAGCACTGGATTTGAGTTGGCAACTTGGCTCTTTCGTTATATTATTATATATAGAGTAATCTATGCGGATAGTCTCCTATGTTTAGGGTCTGATTAACTTTGGTCATCAATTTAAAAATTAAGGGAAAATGATCCTTAATATTATTGATTCATTCGATTTTAGTCCCTCTGCCGTTAATTTTCATTAATCCCTTTTTTTAAGTCCCTAACATGGTTGAGGGACTAGAATTGAATGGGAATTAACGACTGAGGGACTAAAATAGAACATATAAACACTTTTAGGGACTAAAATTGAACATATCAATAACGTTATGGACTATTCTCCCAGAATTTTTAAATTAATGATCAAAGTCGGTTAGACCAAAAATATAGGGACTATGTGCATAGTTTACCCTTATATATATATATATATTTAGAGTTTTCTTTGTAAGGAAATAATTAAGTGATTTGTCATGTAAACTAAGGGATGGCACTTTTTAACTGTGTTTTAATGGCAATTGGCAAATCTCCAACCATCCTTTGGGGTTAAATTTTAAAACAAGAAAGTTTTTTTCCAACGTTAATATCTTAATATTCAAGATTTCGAAGATTAAAGACCCGTTCGGCGTAGTTTTTTAAAACACTTTTAGTTAAAAAGTTCGTTTTAATCGTAAAATTAATATCAAACGAGTAAAATATTAGAAAAAAATACGGTAAAAATGATGGTTTCGAACCAACCGCAAAAATTAAGGATTATAGTTTTTTCATTTTCAAATTTGTGTTTGTGAACAAATTATAATTTTATTCTTTTTAATGCATTGGCTCAACTCAATTATATATTTACATTTTATTTTAATAATTTAATATTAACATCCTTAAAAAATAATTTATAACTTAATAATTTATTTCAATTATTTAAAAGTAAATAAAATTCATGATTTATAATTTTATATATATTGAAATATCAAGTGAGTTATATAATAATATATTTTTATTATTAATGAGTCATCTTAAAATATTTTTTTATATTTTTATTATAGTTTAAGTGATATATTTTATATAACATAGTATTGATAAATGTAAATAAAATTTAAATTCTATACTTTTAATTTACAATATAATGTCTATAATGAATATTTTATTTTTTCAAACTCAATTTTTAACAATAATTTCAAACAGTTAAATTTTAAACTACACTTCTAAACAATACTTTTAAAAATTATTTTCTACTACACCTTTAAAAGTTACTTTTCAAAATACCTACCCAACTACCCTAAATATTTACAACTACTTTTAAAATATATATTCACGAGTAAAAGTTCACTACTTTTCCTTTTATTTTCTTTTTTGTTTTAACGTAAATTTTTATTTTATGTACATAAATTATGTTTATTTAATTCTTTTTCATAAAAAATAATAAATTTGATATTGTCTATTCAATTAAAGTTTATTCGGTTATCTTTCTAATCCAACTATACTTTTGGATTTTCAAATTAGTTGTCTCATATTGATATGTGTTCACGACCATTCAAGATATGTCACATTAGAATTGTGATAAAATTAGTTTGTCAACATATTGTCATTGTTATATTCATTTTTATGTTAGTATTGATGGTAGTTGTGATAATTCGATCGAGTGGAGTGACAAAATTTTTGAATTACTTGAATTTATTATTTCCATTTTATCATCAAATTTTATTTTATTTTTGAGTTGAGAAAAGTTGAATCCAATATATTATTATCTGTTTGTGTTCAGATTTAAATATTATTATTTTATAATATTATGATATTAATTGATTATAGTTTAAATTACTCTCTTTTAACTCTATATATCTATTCTCGATCACATGTGCAACAATGTAATTGAGACTTAGATATTATTTTTAAAGAATAATATTTTAAAATAAAATATTGATAAGAGTATAAGAAGTCAAGAAATCATTTAAAAGAAAAAATTCATAAAGAGTCGGAGTCAGAAGACCAAAAATAAATAAAAACACAAAGTTGAGAGACTTAATTGCATAAAGAATAAACTTGTTATAAAAATGAAAGTTATATGTCTATTTTACAGATATTGAGGATCATGTGACCTGAATTTAATGGAAAAATAAAATAAAATAAAAAAGAATCGAAGGAAAAACAAAATAAGTGAAGCGACAAATAATAAAATTATCAAATTTATTTTTTAAAAACCAAAGTCATTTTAATTTTTAGTTTTTTTCATTATTCGAACTTTACAAATTTAAACACAATTCAGACTGAAAATCCAAAAAAAAAAGTTGACACAAACAACTCGACTAGAATAACTCAAAAAAATTCAAGTCAAAACTATTTTTGCACATCCATATTTGATACACTTTATTTTCAATGTCGATAATAATTTTTGTTTGTATCTATTATTTATAAAAGCGTTTAATTTCCTTTATATTGTTTTAATTTAATTATTTAATATCTATTTTGAATTTTTGTATACTTTTTTTTGGATAAATTACTTTTTTCTTTGATGTTGTGATTTTATTATATCTTTGATTTATTTAATAAAATTAATTGTTATCATTGACTAACCCACATATATTTAAAAAAATTATATTTTTGAAAATGTTGATGTATTAATTTTTTTTGTTAAAATATATTTTATTATATCATATATTAAATCTATAACATGAAGAGAAAAGACGAACCTTAACCAGTAGACTATTATTGAGGTTGGATTCATACATATACCGTGTCCTATCATATTTATATTGTACATTATTTATTTTGTTATGATAAAATAATTATCTTATTTTATATTTTTAAAATCTCGATGTATCAATAATTATATTAAAATGTTTTTAAAAATATCCGTTATTCATACATGTCCCAACTTATTTATATTGCACATTATTTATTTTGTTCGCATTATGATTTTAGGGTTTGCATATGATATTGTGAACAAATAGAACAACAGAAGGTTGGTTGGTTCTCATAGTCAATTCCAAGCTCTCTAATAATTATTTATATTATATTAGAAAGGGTAAATTATACTGTTCCTCATTAAACTTTACTCTATCTCCTATTTTCCTCACCCAACCTTCAATTTGCTCACTGAACTAAAAAATATAGGAGAGAGTAAATAGAGGGGAGAGTAAAATTCAGTGACTCGTGGTGTAATTTACCCTTTGACCTTCTCTTCTTCATTTTCTCTCAGCAGGCCACCACTTCATTTTTAGTCTGACCATCGTCGATTTCCATAGATGGTGGTCATTTGATCTCAAAATGGGATGGGTCAGTTTATCTCAAATTCGTGGACATCGGAGCAAGTTCCGACAAATGAAGGTCGAATTCATACTCAAGGTGTCGAGGCGAAGCGACTCATCGCATTTTATAGCCGAACACCCACCATCTACAACGGTCGACGGTGGCCGGCGGTGGAATCCGACCATCTTCTATTTTTATTTTATTTTTAAATTATGTTATATTAAATAATAATAATAAAAATGTCACATCATCAATTATTATGGGGTGTTTGGTTCAAGGATTGTGGGATTCCCATGGGATGAGAATCCCACATTCCCATGTTTGGTTGGTCGAGAATCTCATTCCCGGTAATGTTTTATTACCAATAGTAGATTTTTTGGGGTATATTACCGGGAATGTCATTACCTCCATTCCCTTAGGTATTGTAACATTACCGACATTTTGGACTAAAATGCCCTTAAATTTTTATTTTTTTTCAAAAATATCATTCTTCTGTCATTGAATAATAAAAATTCTACGAAGGTTAAATTACAAATTTATCCTTAAATTATTTTAGATTTACAAAAAAAAAATTATAATTAAAATTTTATATGAAGTTCAGGGGTTAATTTTTTTTTCCCTTTCATTAAATTTTTTTATATTTTTAATTTTTTTAAAAAAATTATATAAATATTATGAATTTAATTTTTTTTAAAAAAATTATATAAATATTATGAATTTAATTTTTTAAAGAAAATATATAAATATTTTACAATTTGTAATATTATACAAATATATAATAAGGACAATTTGGTCAAATATACATTCCAATAATCTTTTATTCCTTTAACCAAACACGGTAATCTTACATTCCTGCTAAACAAACCAAACACAAAATACAACATTCCCAGTAATCATATTCCCTGATAATCTTTTATTCCCACTGGTAATCTTACATTCCGTGAACCAAACGCACCTTTAGAGAGAAAACGGTCGAGTGAGTAAAATTATTCGATTGTAAAGTTCAGTGAGCAAATTAATCAAATTGAAAGTTGGGTGAGAAAAAAATAAAAAAGAGAGTATAATTAAGTGAGGAACGATATTATTTACCCTATTAGAAAATGTCCTCGTTACGCTTGAAAAATCTAATTGTGAATATGAGGTTTATATTTTTAAAATATAAATATTTAAATGTATACTAAATTCAATGATTGAACTGAAGAATATATTATTAAATGAAACTATATTTAAAATTTAATTATTGATAAATTATGAGAAAATATTCTGTGATATAGGAGATGAAGGAAGTTTCGAATGGGCAAATTGATCAAACTAGTTGGTAGATTTTGGCGTTTTGCCGTCGGTAAGGTACGTTGTATAAGCTGTATCATAATTAATGAATAAGAAGATTAAATTCCAGTTAATTTTTGCATATGATAGGAAGTAATATATCTTGTCCATTTTTTAAAGTCTAAAGTGGTTCAGAACATTTATAAATTTGTTGGTATACTTTTTTTTAATTTATAATAATATATA